TACATACACGCACACACACACACACACACACACACACACACACACACACACATTTGTATTATTAAAAATTGTTTCAATGTGGATGGCGTCTAAAAGAGCTCCATCTTCTCTTTACTGCAGGTAGGCTCCACACTTCACCCATTTATTCAATACATTTAGTGAAAATAAAATATTTAATCCCAATCATTAACTAAATTAGACCCAGTCTTTCACAGATGTCTTCAGATTAAAATCAGGAGTTTGTATCCGTTTAGTGTTTGAGATGTGAAACATAAAAAAGTATTTGATCTCTACACCATCTGATSTACCATTACTTGTGTTAAAAAGATGTGGGGGAAAAAATCAATATGGACTTAGCAACAGCGTGTATCATTGAAATAACCGTGTCATCACTTTTTCTCTGACTGACACCTGTTTTTATTCATGAAGGAGGAGAGTCCACATGTAGCTCATAAAATACAGTCCAGATCCAGAGTGACAAATTACACTCAGTTTAACAAAGAATATMTAAAAAGAAACTGCATTTTTCTAACGGGTGTGATGCTCTGAGAGGTGGAGGCTCACAGGCGCMGCAGCAGAGGAATCCAGCAGGATGGATGCTGCTGCGGCGACCCTGCTCTCCATCTTCATCCCCAGCTTGTCTTCTGTGACATGGCTGAGCTTTTACATGGAAATTTAGCTTGTACTGAAATAAATTGCACTGTTACCCACTGACAGGAGCCAACAAAGACTTATGATACGAACGTCCAGAACTGAAAGAGCTGCGCACGCAGAAGATAAAACATCCCGGAGACGGTTACACACCTGTCAATCATCCTGGAGGCGCTGCAGTGCAAAGTTGGACTTGGATGAGCAACACAACACATCTCCAAGGCAGAATAAATGAAAGACGTTTATTTAACTGCTTTGTGCCTTTTGTTGCACCAGATAAGCTTTTATAGAATCTCGTCCGGTTTGACCTGTTTAATCTTTAAAAACAGCAGAAAATCCTGACTTTTGAAGAAATGATTGAAACATTCAGATGAATTATTCTGACTGCATCGCCTCTTTTTAGATTTCAGGTATTTTCATGTTATATTTCTGCATCATTGGTGAATCACGTCTGGAGTTTTGCTGCAACAAAGACTTTCTGCTGCGGTTTGTTTCCCCTCTGATCCCTCTGGTCAGTTGTGCACAAAGACCAGCGGGGTCCACAGTAACGCTGCATGCACGCTTGGAGAAAGTGTTTGATGATCCTGCTTTTGTGTAAAACCTCATCCCAGGAAGGTTTTCAAACAACTCCGAGCCGGACCACCTCCCCTCGTTAACAAAAAACACACGGAGCGGGCTCCGGGCCCCGTCGTCCGGGCCGGCGCTCGTCCTCCTGAGGTTAATCTGTAAAGAGTTTTGTTCGCTCTGCAGAGTGAAGTCACGTATTCCTGGGAGCTGTCGGGGTGGTCCCTCCCAGCGTCCCGTTGTCTGGTAGAGGCGGGGGGCTCCAGTCTGGCTGGTAGAAGTGGATGTCAAACGTCCGAGCCCAGCTGGCGAACACACGCTTCTCKGTGATGAAGCGGTGGTGGCTGCCGCGCTTGCCCCGCTCGTGGGAGATGTACATGGCGCACTCGTCGGGGCCTCGCGGCTCGTAGTAGTGGTAGGGGATGGACTGGTGCTGGGGCTCCCTGCAGCAACACAAACAACAAACARTCGCCCCTGAAAGTCAGGAAAAGCCGTTTGTGATGTTTTATTTCATGTAAGGTGGTCAAGCTAATAGCCTGGCCCTTGCCTTCCTACACAGCTCCGCTCAATTCTCGTTTTCCTTCTCTGCTCCGTCTGGGATTTCTCCCATAGACAAGGATTTCTTCGTGAGCATTTCATTCGGGCCAATCAGAGAGCAGAACGTTGATTTTCTGTGCAGTGTTTTCTATTATTTTAGCATACAGCAGTGGAAGAAGTGAATGAAGCCAGTCTGTGTTGATAAGGCTTCCAAATTAAATTAAATTAAATTAAATTTGTCTGACAAAGCAGCAGCTCTCATTTACAGTCGTCTCGTTCAGCTCGGTACTTCTCTCCTCTCAGTAGGGTTGTTTACAGCACACGTGATTTCTGGTTAGCTTCTTAGCTTAGCCTCCTTCACAGTGGAGCTGGCACTCATACGTCGCAGCCAAACAATCCAATCATTTTAAACTTCAGCAGAGGCCACGCCTCCAGCAAGAATTGCTTCTCCATAGCCGAGTCCAGACCCTCGTACRAAACAAAGTGAAAGACAAGGGTCTGGTTTCTACCAGGCTAGCAAGCTAAAGCTAAGAACAGGAGGAAGTCGTCTGACACCCTGATGTTCAAAAAATAAATAAAAGCCCTGGAAGAGTCCGGAAGCTTTTAAAGGCAGAAACAGCATCGTTTTTCCCACCAGTGGAACAAAGACTGTTGTTTGGGTTTTATGTGACAACTTGGTGTTTATAAATCCAGGATAAATGAGGGAAACTATGACGGACATTTTTCTCATAATATTTAGACTTTTTTCTTGCAATATTTTTTTCTTTTTTGTAGTATTTTGACTTTATTCTTGTACAACGTTTTTCTCATAATATTTAGACTTTTTTCTTGCAATATTTTTTTCTTTTTTGTAGTATTTTGACTTTATTCTTGTACAACGTTTTTCTCATAATATTTAGACTTTTTTCTTGCAATATTTTTTTCTTTTTTGTAGTATTTTGACTTTATTCTTGTACAACGTTTTTCTCATAATATTTAGACTTTTTTCTTGCAATATTTTTTTCTTTTTTGTAGTATTTTGACTTTATTCTTGTACAACGTTTTTCTCATAATATTTAGACTTTTTTCTTGCAATATTTTTTTCTTTTTTGTAGTATTTTGACTTTATTCTTGTACAACGTTTTTCT